AGCCCCGGGCGGGGACTGCTGCCCGCTGGCGTCTCCGGCCCGCGTCCGCTGGGCTGTGCCGGCCCGGAGGGCGTGTGCGCTGGACGCCCCAGCGCCCGCCACGTGCGGCAAGGTCCAGGCCGGCATTCTGCCGCGCAGGGGCCTACCTCCAGTCGTGAGCCCAGTCCGTCCGACCTCCAATCCTGGCCCACAGTCCGAGGCCACACATCCGTCTTCAGAAGTGACGTCCTACACACGCTTCGGGAGACTCGCGCCGGCCACTTTCTGCTCTGGACAATTTACTCAGAGAAAGGAGGCCACTTACGGGGAGAAGATCAAGAGAGAATAGGTGGTGACATTGTAGATGCTAACGAGAAATAATCAAACGAGATGGGAAGCACGTACGGTGTCTGGAAGGATACCTCTCTATCCGGTTAGTAAGTGTCCAGGGAGTTGATTTTTTTTTAAAAAATCAGGGCCCATAAAAATTGATGGAGATAGCTGGGAGGCGGGTGCATTATGTTTTAGCCCGTTCTCGTGGACAAAGGAAAAGGAGCCCATTTTTCCCCTCAGAAATAAAAAGTAATAAAAACACCCAACAAAGCAGCACTAATATAGAGATTTTATTTAAATTGTATTGAGATTTTACAGCACATTGTATGTTTGTCACAACGCGACTGCACAGTTTGGATTTTTGGCCATCTCATGTCACTTAACACCCACAAGAGCTCTGAAAGGAGTATTTGATGAATGCATCTGAGCTGAGAGCCCAGTCTCTCTCTCCAAGGCCATGCAGTTTGCTCACTGATAGGACAGCCCCTCAAAACAGCCACGCGAGATGGACAGATACAGTCTCCCCAAATGTTAGCACTCTTGCTCCCCCTGAAAACGGGCAGAGTGAAGTGCAATCAAAGTCAAGTTAATAAAAAGCCACTCCCAACTGGCAGTAAATCTGAATGATTGAGAATGCTTAGCATTAATTTTATGTATCAGAGACAAGGAATAGTTTGTTACTTTCTCAATGATCTCAGGAATTTCCCAGACACAAAATCTCCATTATTCAACTCCATCTAAAAAAGTTCTGCTAGGCTGACCTAAATACGCCACAACTTTTTAGGTTACATCGTGTCAAGGATAAAAGTAGCAGATGCTTCTCCGTAGGGCTGGGAAAAGGTCAGGACAGACAGCAATCCTTGTTCTAAATACAGAGCCTAGTTCTTTGTAGGTTTTTCTAGAAAGTATCATGAAAATAGTGAGATGACTACCATGTTTTAAAAGCAGGATTAAGCCTAAATGTAATTCACCTCTTATACACCAAAAATTAAAATTGTATAAACAAATTCCTAGCGGTTTCATTATAGGCCAAGGAGACTGTATCTGTTCCAACCACAGTACATGGTTATATCACTGTAGCTTTTGGTTAAGTGCCACTGGTACATATTAAGATGGAAAAAAAAAAAAGAATAAAAAGAAAAACAATGTTTGGTCCAAATGGACACATTTCCCCAATTTTGGTATCAATGCTTTACTCCCTTCTGTTTGGGTTCCATTGGTAAGTGCACAGAAGTAGACAGCAGCATTTGTACTGAAACCCTCACAAACCAAACAGCACATTCCAGGAGGTGAAAAGTCAAACCTACAACCTACCCTCGAGGCGTCAAGTGTTCAGGATCAGAAGCAGAGTGACCCAGAGCGGCGGCAGCCAAGGGAAAGACAACACAGGGGAAGTGGGTGATGGAACACTCCAAAAAATGTTTATTTCATGCCTGGAGAGGACCAAGGTGTAGCTCCTGTGTTAGCACCAGGACAACTAGGAAGCCTGGTTAAAGGGGTAGGGCACAACTCAGCAGATAGTTCACAAGGGCCTTGTTTGCTGTTCCCCATTCCTCATCCTTCACAGTGCTACCTCAAGAGCTCTCGCTGCGCAATAACAGAGTGCCCTCACGGCTCCAAGTACTGACTTTCCTTAGGATGGGCCGTCAGCAGAGCTTCCCTCTGCTCCCCAAATGTCTGACCCCTAGAACGGTTCCCCTAAATTGAATATTCACTGATGCTGGTCGATGACCAAAGGGAAAAATACACCAGAACCTCCACTTGCTGAACCAGTCTTTGAACCAAACTCCACAGAAAGACAGAACTGATGCGACTAGGGGAGTGCCTCTAAGACTGAGCCTTCATGCACAGACACAGAGCACAGAGGTGTGGGGGGTTCATCTCAAGAGGGAGAGAAATTCCTCTTAGATACTATACTCGGCATTGTTCAAGGCAGAGGAGGGATGGGTGTGGTTATCACCTGGAGTTTGGTTATACATATGCCTTTCTATTGCTGTTTGGGGCACTTTTGCACCAGGAAGGATCTATGAAATCATTATCTTGTGGGCCCCAGGAGAAAGAAGCTGAGTCACCAATTCAACATTAAGCCTCCAGACTTGGGGTCTGGATCAGGACCTTTACCTCAAGGTAAGGCCCTCCTGCTAAGTTGGAATTCCTCTGCCTCCAGTCCCATCGTCCCAAGGAGGATTTCTCAGGACGGCATCTTTGAGCTCTGTGGATTCAGGAGCCACACCAAAAAGCCGTCACAACTCCACCTGAAGCAGATCCTCCCTTCAAACCTGCTAAAAATCGGACACGTCGTCGTCTCTGGCATTCAGCTGGAGGCCGTAGCAATGGGTTTCTTCAGATGTTGGCTCATGAGATCCCTGGCACGAGATACTTGGATGTGTTCGTAACATGAGTTACAGACAAGAACTGGGTCATAAAGTTGCTGATCAGGAATGGGCAACTTCAGGTGGCAGCATCCAGCACAAAATACATTCCCACAATTTCTGCCAAAGAGCAAAGAAAGAAGAGTTCAGAGAAAATGAAAGTCTGAAAGGCCTTGCATGAGTAAATGAGAGAAAACATCTCTCTTTTTCAGACTCTAAGTATATAAATGTATGATACTGTTTTGAGAGTGATCCTGAATCATACAAAACAACTTCTTACCTGCAATGGTGCCTTCGTTTGGCCAACCAGAATTCACAGTCACAGTTATAGCAATGTGATGCCATGTGATCAGGAACCCAGCGAGTCACCTGACAGAGACACAAGGGAAAAGTTCCAGGTTCCTATCGAGAGTATAGAAGAGTAACATTGCCACGAGGAAAGCCTCCCCTGGGAAATTGACAAGGCCCATCATCGCTTGCATTGGGACCCTCCACACATGTGCCTGACATACCTCAGTTTCTTTCTTATCCACAGGTTCCCAGCTTGCTTCTGAAAGGCAATCTTCACTGTGATCAGAGCCAAAATCCTCTGTATCACTGCCGTCTGACTCCTTTAAACACGTCTAAAGAAATGCAAAGACATCACAATATCTTCCTCATCGTGGGCATCTGGCATTAGCTATGTGCCAGGCACTGCTTGACGGGCATTACCTGTCTGAGTTTATTTAACTCCTCGTGGCAACCTTAGGTTATCCCTGTGTTACGCATGATGAAACAGAGCCCAAAGAGGGCTGGGAAGTTCGCACGTTGTAAAGCTGGGATTTGATCCTAGCTAACATTCTGGCTCGAGAGCCATGCTTTTAACCAATGTGTTACACCGCTGGGGAAAGAAAACTCCACTTATTACAGTTTGAACTAAAGTTCAGTGAATGCTGGCCTGTGGGCCAAATCTGGCCCACTGCCTGCTTTTGTAAATCAAGCTTTATTGGGACACAGCTACATTCACTCATGTCCATATTGCCTATAGCTGCTTTTGCCCCCAAACAGGAGAAATGAGTAGTTGTGGCAGAGATCGCATGCCCTGAAATATTTCCTATGTGGTACTCTCCAAAAACGTTTGCTAACCCCTGCTCCAAGTGATGCCCCTGGACAAGAAGTTGTTAGCCCTGCCCGCATTACCAGCAGAGAAGTGGGCAGCCGGCCAATGAAAGTGCCTTCGCATGGACAGATGTACAGATAACAAGGTACGATGGGAAAGCAGCTGGCTCAGGGCCAGCTGCGACTTCTCAACATAGCAGTCCAGATGGACCTCGTCTTCTCTCACCTGGCCCATTCCAAAATGCCCTAATGAGTCTCACGACAGCTTTAGCCAGTTGACAGATTATGTTAGGAGTCATCTTCTTAAAATTCAAATCTGATCATCTCTGTGCAACAAAACTATATTGCCAGAAGGTAAAAGCTTAAACAAGAAAGGTAACTCAACACCCTTGACTCTTCCAAACCCGATCCCTTCCAGTAGCACTTTCCAACATGTTCTTTGTCCTGTTGGTCCCAGCACAAATAGGGGTACATCGGTCACTCGCACTCTTTACTCAAGCCGTACCATTTCGTAGCTACTGACGCCATACTTCTGTGCAAGTAGTTCCTTGTTCCTGAGCACTTGGCGCATACTACATATTTCTTCAGCACTCAGGTCAAGCACTAACTTCTCAGGAAAGTCTTTCCTGACCTTTTACCCAGAAGCTTAACAGTTGGCCTTCCTCCAAGTAATGCATTCCAGAATATAATGTTAATTGTTTGTCTCTCCCACTAGGCCGTGAGCCCCAAGGGCAGGGGATGTGTCTTTCTTTCATCATCTAACTCAAGCATCTAGCTCAGTGGCTAGGCGAATGTTGATGGATGATGCAAGGCTGTTAGGGTGGATGGATGGCATAGTAAGTGAATACTTACAAAATCATCCTCGTAGTCCATGGGGGGCTCTGCTGGAGGGGCACAGCAATGACGGATATCCAGCCTCATCTGAAGTTCACGCACCTGCCGGCGTAGCTGTTCCACCTCTTGCTTGTAGCTTGCTTCAATTTGTCGCAATCTATGCTGGATCACATCCGTAGGGAAGGGCAGTCCATCGTCATCCAGGTAGAGAGGAGGCACTGGAGAAGAGCAACTCAAGGGAACAGGCTTTGTATGGGATAACTGCTTTGGGTGACCGGACAACCACATCCGGTTTTTGCCTCCTGGGCCAGTACAGTGTCCATTAGAATGACTCGAACAGACGGGCGACTTCACACCTTCTCTCTGAGCCCACTGGCCCCCAAAGCAGGGCCCCGTTGCCCTCATCTGCTTGCTGCCTGACCTCTTGCTACAACAGCCATAGGCAAGCAGCCGCCGAGAGGTGGTCTCCCCACTTGGCAATGAAGTCACCATCCCTTGGAAGCTGTCCCAGTTGGACCCCAGAAGAGAGAACTCACTGATCTGGCTCTGAGAAACCATCTTTCGGGTCAATTCCAATGGCATTTTCCCAAACCGAGGATTTTCCAATAACTGCCCATTTAGCCTAGTCCCCCTTTTGCCAGAGTCTTCCTCCCCAGGCATCAGATCGGGCACAGGAGTGGGGTGTTCATGGTGGGAGATACTTGCCACAGACCCTGAGGGATCTTGGCTGAGGAAGTCAGGGCTTGGGTCTAGAGGAGTTTGGCAGGGAGCACTCAGTGGGTCACAAAGACTGGGATCTGAAGTACAACTAGAGGGCACACAGTGCATGGAGTTCAGCTGGGCCTGGGGGGGAACTCCCGAAAGAGCATGCTGGGAAGACTCGGGAAAATCACCAATTCCATCACACCGGACAAGAACGGCCTCAGAGAGTACACTGACAGCCTCTTTCTCAGGACAGTGTTCAGCGGGCTCCTCCCTGGTGCCATCTAAAGTTCTATTCCGTTCATCCTGGGCAGGAGGGTCTAGAGCGGGTACCGTCGTCTCTTCTGGGACTTTGACCTCAAGATCAGAGGGGTTGCTTTCCACTTCCTGGGGCACAGCAGTATTACACAGTTCGTAACTCGGAGAACAGTTTCTGTGGCTCTTGAAAGGCTTATTGCTCAAGTCGTCTTCCTGGCTGCTGGACAGAGTGGGAGGGCCCATTTCTCCGGCAGCTGGCTGAGGACCTCCTGGCCCTGATTTCTCACAGGCTGTCTCGGATCCTTCAGGACCGCTGTGCCAAGGCTCCAGGCCTACCCTGGCCTCCTGACTGTGATTGTTCAGGTTAGGGTCACTGGACGTGCGCGTAAAGGGGCTGCTTGTGTCACAGGCAGAAAGAAGGTCATCCATGGATCTGGTTTTAGGCAATCTGGAATGACAAGCCAGCACCTCCAGGTCAGCGAATGGGGGCCAGTTCCGGGATAAAGAACCAGACACCAGAGCAAGAGCAATGTCAGCTAGGGTTCCCAGACGTCATCCATTTAAAATCATACACGTAATCTGTATCATCGAAAGCTCCAAGCGCAGACCATGGACTTGGCTTCAGCGTTTATGTAATCACCCCACACAATCACCCTACCTTGGTCACTCTCATTCATTCTCAAAGACTATGGCTGAATTAAGTGGACCAGCAGGGCTCAGTATTTGGTGGGCATGAGGAGGACCTGTGGATCGCCTACCAACACAGACAAGCAGGACCCATCTAAGACCTATGCAGTCAAAATGGCCAGCCAAGAGTGCAGTACAGGCACCTGTACTCTCAAAAAGTATCATAGCCGGTGTCATGCATGGTACTTTTTATTATGGAAGCTTTCAAACACACACTTAGAAGTGGGACCGTTTAAGGCACGTCCATGAAACCTTCACCCACATTCAACAATAGCAACTTTTTGTCATCCTCCACTGCTAATTCCAATATGTATCAAAAGTTTAGTGACTCATGTCAGTGGCACTGAGACCAAGGGAGAGCCCGTCCAGCTAGGATGGACAGGGAAAGCTTCACAAAGAGGCGAGGCTAGAGAGGGTCCTAGATGCTAGGATACGTGTCAGATTTCAATGAATGAGGAGGAAAGAGGGTAGGCAGGGCATTTTTTATCTAGAGCAAGGTAGACCCACAGGTTAAGTCAGGCTTCCCTAAAAACTTTTATAATGTTCTTCTAAATTCGATTTTCCATCTTGAGTTACCTATTGCACAAGACCCCCTTGCCATCGACTGATATTTCAACCTCAACCTGCTTACGTCTCCTCTCTCTCCAAACTGGTCTTCTTCTCAACTTCTCGGTATCAGCAGTACTCAGTCTCGAAGTCTGAAACACTGAAACTGGGACTTGTCACTGACCCATCCTTACCTTTATTTCTACCCTCCAACATACGCTCCGTTCTGCAGCCTGCTGATGACTTCCCACAGGTCTCTGGATTTAATCTTTCCCGTTTCCAGGGATTCTTCCCCTGACATGGCAGTGTTTCAACTACCCTGTTCCTCTAACAACCACCCTGCTCATGCCCCTAAGTCTAGACTACCTAGAATGATTTATTCTTCACAAGTGAATTAAGACAAACTTCCCAGTATGGTTTTAAAGCTCTGGATTACTGACCTAAATTTACTTCTTATTCCCTCCAAACAGTCCTTCCCGACCCTTGCCAGCTCCAGCAAGGTTCTGCCTTTCATCACGTCATGTGTCCACTTCCTTGGGATCCCTCGCTACTGGCCTTGATCCCAGTGCATAACTCTCTGTATTCTGTTCGTTTGCTTCTCCACTGAAACAATGACAAAGCACCTGTTGTGCGCCAGGCCTTAAAGACACACGTGCTACAGACAACAATTAACGACGGCTCCGTTTGGCCTTTAATTCTCTGAGTCAAACAGCCATCAAGGACTCTCTTATTTCTTCTCATTCCTCTAGTCACCCTTGAACCCCCCACATTCTTACTTGCACAGATTCTGACTTAGAATTGTTCTCTGATTACTTCATGTGCCTTATCATCCAGCTTAAAAATACCTTGAAAGCAGGGCCGACGGCTTGTCTTTCTTTGGTGAAGCCCACAAAGCCTAGTGCAGGGCCAGGCCCACTGCCAGGCAGTTGCTCCTGGCTCCGAGACCCTTGTTTCCCAGGCTGTAAATCTTTATAGGAACAGAGAAGCCCCTACTTTCTCACAGAGCAGCTGGGTGTTGAAACCACTGACTTGGCTGGCAGCAGTCCAACCCTTACTCGACTTCACCATCAGCACTATGTAGCACATCAGCAGTAAAGAAACACTTATGGAATTATAACATCAGTTACTGGTTTAAGACAATGATTACTGAGCCAAAGGCTGGATGACATTTTGGTAAAACGTATGGCCTCCTTCCCTGTTAAAATAAGCACAAGAATCTATACTTACATTATGCATGGTGTGCAAAGAGGGTGGGGTGGGGGTGGATCATAGAACCCCTGAAGTCTATCCACAGACCCGACAATGGACTCAGCTTAAAAGGCCCCCAAACATATCATTTATAGTGTTGGGTTTTTTCTTTTCCTTTATAACACTAGGCAATAGCGTAAAGCTACCTTTTAATTTTTAAAACTGTCAGCCTACAAACAAATACCAAAGTTTGAAATGCACATATCCTCTGTGGCAGCATTTTCATTCCCAGGACTTTATCTGACAGAAATACCAGCACAGTGCAAAGATACATACATAAAGGGTGCTCCCTGAAGCGCTTCCCGTAATGATGGGGCAAAAAGAGGAATACCTAAATCACCACTATGAAGCTGAATATGCAAATTATGATTGTCTAATTTTGCAATCGATACGGAATGCTTCCTGGAAGCACAGATGGCGAGACTTCATCTCAAGTCCTTTGGACAGCTAGAGGGGGATCAAGCCTCGGAGAAGGACGCCACCCTTGGCTGCGTAGAGGGTTAGGGAGAGAGGACCCCTCAACAAGATGGGCTGACACAGCGCCTACGACAACGCACTCAAGTACGGGCAGCAAAGGCCTGGAGGTGGGAGCAGCAGCAGGCAGTGTTGGGTTTTGTTGTGACAGGGCCATCAGGAGGACCAGCTAACCACAACGAGCAGCCATCCGTCGGGTATGACCCGGCCGTGCCCCTCCTAGGTGCATACCCCACAGAACTGAAAGCAGGGCGGAAGCCTATTGGTACATCGTTTCATTTGCAGCATCAATCGCAATAACCAAAAGGTAGAAACCATCCGGTGCTTTCCAACAGATAAATGGACAAATAAAATCGAGTACACGCATACGACGGACTCACTTCACTAGTAAGATAAATGCTAATACATGCTACCACATGGATAAACCTAAAACCAAAGTAAGTAATGACACACAAAAGGAAAATCATGATTTGGTCCCACTGACAATGAACTACCTAGACTAGGCAATGGATAGAGGGAGAAAGTAGATTAGAAGTTACCGGGGTCTTGGGGGAGAGGAGGACGGAGAGGTCTTGCCTAGCAGATGCAGCTTTTACGAGTGGGGTAAGATTCAATTGTGAAATAGACGGTAGTGATGATTGCACAACACTGTGAATGCCATTAACGTCACTAAATTTCACATTTAAAAATGGTCAACATGGTGTGTTATATATTCTACCACACACACACACACACACACCTTTGAAAGTGCTGTCATAAAATGACGAGCATAATATCAAACTGGAAAAAAAATATGGAAGAGCATGTGAAAATGATTGTTTTTCATTAAAAAAAAACCGTTGCTGTGTGTTCAGTGTGTGGACACGATTATCTACCCAGCGATAAACATCTGGAAAAGCATGTAACAAATGTCAATATGGGACAGCTTGTGGGATCTAGAATCACTGCAGGCCTTGTATTTTCTGCTTCCATATTGTTTTACAAGTTATATTTGTATTCTGCTTTTAACGTTTCATTTATAATAAGGAACACTTTTAGCAACGTACAATTTAACAACTCCCTTCTCACTCTCTCCAGACCATATTTAAATATTCAATCAGGAAATAATTTTCACTTTTATGTATCTCTTCTGGCTCTGGGTTCTCGTAATGGGGAGTCATGTAAAGGCCCCCCCCTCTTCAGAGAACTCTGAGCGTTGAAGGCCTCTGGAAGCTAATGCTGGCCATACGAAAGGTTACTACGAAGCTAACACGCTCCGGTTAATGAGCAAAAACCAAGACCATTCCCACAAACTTTCCTGAAAGCGTTCTCTGTGTGCTGTCGTTCCCCTCTACCCCTCCTGAGCACGTCAGGCAGCGTGATAGCAGTTCCAGGGGATGGTAATCAAGGGGAAAAAGTTACCAATGTTATCTTAACAAAGGACCTTGACACTAGAGTGCACTCCAGACTAGCTTCAAGACTTGAGCGGAGTTTCTCCTTCAACTGCCTCAGGAAGTCGCTTTTACATATCCCATAAAAGACAGAGCGCAGTGCTTATGCGCAACGTAAAGCAGTCCCTGGAGAAGGGCTTTCCTACCTGTCCAGAGAGCGGCCCGAGAACTCCTGGCTCTGCATCACGGGGGAAAGGTAGAGCTCCATGCTCTCCTCCCCGAGGGTGCAGGGAGGCGAAGCGGGCAGGTAAACAGCTGTCCAGAGGTGCAGGGCCCGCACATGGCACACAGGATGCAGGACCTAGGAAAGCAGCCGCTTACGGGATGTTCTCAGCCCCGCCAGGACCAACTCTGGTCCTCCCACCCCACCCCTCACAGTCGGCCTGTCCTCCCGCCCTCTAGGTTTCCAGGCAGCACCTGTAGGATTCAGGCTCCACTTACCATCTCTGAGCTGGGTGTATAGAGGAAGTTGTGGAAGTTCTTATTGCCAGCTCGCAGAAGAGCCCACACAGAGCAGGTCCGCTTGTAGATGCTGCGCTTCTCTCGTTCACAGGGGTTGTTGGCCAGGAAGGTGCCGTAGAGGCAGGAGTATGTGTGCTGAACCAGTTTCACCTAGGGGGCCAAGACTATTGAGCTTGGAGCCTTGGGCCGACACCCCCCACCCCCCTGGCTCTAAGCTTTAGAGCATACCAGGAATGCTTCGTTAAACTCAAATAGGCAAGGGAACTGCTTGAGCAACTGATGGACGGAATCAAGCCACTGGAGGAACACGGGGCACTGCTCACTCTGGTCCTCTGCATTCTCCTGGTGGCCACAGCGATCGCCAAACTTGTGTCCAAAATCCAGCCAGTCAGACTCCACTAACACTTGGAAGCCCTGCAGAGGAGGAGACGGTTCAAGCCCTGGGCCTCTCTGGAGGGGGCTGGTGAGCCACACCCCAGAGGAATTCCCAAAGCCAGGAGCAAGCAGCAACAAGGAAGGACAGGACTGATCTGATCTCACCTTGAGGAGGATTCAAAGCCACCAATGTCCTCTACTGGAAAATCCCCACGGCAAAGTCACAGGGCCTAGCCCCACCTCTCCCCACCCCATTCCTGTTCTTCCCCACCCAGGCCCTCTGAATACCTCCAGTGTCCGATAATAGGGGTCCAGCAGGATTTTAGCCAGGGCTACAATCTGTGGCGTCCGGTCCCAGCCGTCCGAGCAGTGTACGAGCACCGGCCGGCCTTCTCGGTCTACGGTGTTTGCCACCAGCACAGCTGCCTTTAGCATCACCGACAAGTGCTGCAGCCATTTGGTACTTTCCAGTGCAGACAGCCAGCTGTGCAAGAGCAGAAGTCAAGTCTGTCACCAAGGGCGCGGGGGCTGCAATCCTCTCTCCAGCGCCCTGTAGCCTGCCCCACCACCCGAAGCCCCTAGTGAGGGCTGAGGCCAGACCCTGCACCTAGGGCGCTTCTGACAAGAGATACCCAACAAGACGGTGGGGAAGACAGGCCCTGGGATGGATAAAAGCCTCCTGGATAGCCACAGGAAGTGAGCAGCATCTGGATGAGGGGCACAAGGGCACATATATATTGTTGTGCAGGGAACTGTGTTCCCTAAAAGATGTGTCCGACTGTGTAATTATGCAGCAATCCTGCACCTCCTGATCGGCTGTGAGTATCGTATGTGTTGTGAATCCTATTCTATGTCAGCGAGGCAGAAGTAGCACTAGTGACGGTCACGAGGTGGATTATACTCTTAAGGATTAGGTGAATCTTGAACCAAACTCTTTAGGAATATAAGAGATTAAAGATGGAAACAGATCGGAGAGATTTATTACCTCCAAAAAAAGGAGAGCCAGGGGCAAAGCGCGTCCTCTGGACCCACGGTACCTGTGCCAGGAACCTCCTAGACGCAGGAGTTGACCACAAGGACGGTCCCCACAGCCCACAAAGAGAGGAAGGCTCCCCTAGAACCTGTGGCCTGAAGTCATACTTCTAGCCTCCTAAACTGTGCGAGTGAATTTTAGTTTGCTAAGGGTATCCGCCTGAGGCATTTCTGTTGTAGCAGCAAGAGAGAACTAAAACACACATTCACACATTTTCTCTCCCAGTTTTCTGTGTTCTTCGAGTAGGGCAACTGATCAAACAAACGGAACCCAGTGGTCTGTGATGGTGCCCAAGTGATTGCTGAGAAATGGAAGCAGTGTTGGGACTGACCCGCTATACCCAACTCCACCCAGCCTTCAGGACTCCTGCACCTCCAAATTCCCCATTTCCCCCATCTCATCCTCCAAGAACCGGAGCTACGGGATGAGAGTAGAGAGAGGGTGGAATCAGAGCAGGAACACTTACTTGCTGGGATCCGGCATCTGGCTACACACAGCCCGGAGGTACTGGAAGCTATTCCGGATGGCATGGATGTTGGCCATGCCCATGAACACAACCTCACAGTTGGGATAGTACTCTGTAGATAGAAGAAAGGGGCGTGGGGATAAGAGCAGGCCCTGGAACTAGGCATCCGGATAAGAATGGTCCCAAGGGCACCGTGCCAGAAATCTGAACCACCCTTTTATCTCTGGATGCTCCAGTGCCACATTCCAGAAGCAATAGTAACAATATTAATAACAGGTCATAGTAGTAGCACTGCTAATAATGGCAATATATAGTGAATTCTCAATAAGCAGTAGCTGCTTTGGACCAATAATTATATGTAATCAAGTCAACTCAAACTCATAGAGAGCCTGTCCAGGGATTCTGAGACTATGCATTTTTATAGGGACACACAGTCTCATCTGTGTCATGTGGAGTGGCTGGTCATTTTGAACTGCTGACCTTGCAGTTAGCAGCCCAAACGTCTCCAGAATACGCATGTGAAATCTCTCATCATCTCAGCAAATCTGAAGATATGTATGACCTCCATTTCATACACAAGAAAACACGAGGCCTCATATTTTAGAAGTTAGTAGAAATTGCCGGCGCCCAGTTTCCGCAACCTTTTTGAAACCGCTCAGAAAGCTCAGACAGACTAAGCAGTTAACACACAGTCACAGCTACTAAGCACATGGCGGAGTCCTGATTGCAAGCCAGGTTTATTTGGCTCTTTCCACGACGCACGCTGCCCCCCGCCCAGAGCATGAGGCACAGGGATGACAGCACTACCTTCACATTCACAACCTCCACCCTTGGCCCGGTTGGCCACTGCTGCCGTGTAGGAGCGTGCGTCCAGGATCAGCAGCTTCTGGGGAGCTTGGCTGCTCTCCGCCCCGGAGCACGCCGTCAGGGAGGAATCTAGACAGCAAGGAGAAGGCCCCGGCTCAGCCAGCCACTTCAGCCCTGTGCTTCTCCCTCTCAGGACCAGGGACCCTTCACACCCAAGGCCTCCCACAGGGCAGTGACCCAGGCCTTCTTCCCTGCCTCTCACTGGGGACTCCTGGGAACCAACCACGCCAAAGGCTGCTCCCAGCAGCCAGCCCCACCCGCTCCTTACCAAAACCAGCGTCACACGCCTCGCTCGCATCACTACTGCCGGTGCTGGAGGAACTCCCCGAGGCCCTTGTCCCTGGGTCCAGAGCACAGGCTTTGGCGATGGACGTGACCAGGTATTCATCATCAGCATTGCGCCAGCCCCACCAGCTGATCTCAGGCTGGCTGCAGCGGGCGATAGCAGCCCCGTTGCGCAGGTGTCTGAGAAGACAGGGAAGCAAGCAGGCCCTTGAGATTCCCCGCCCCCAGAGACCTACGGCAGAGATGTTAAGAGGCAGACCCAGGCCTCCACAGCAGGCAGGGGCTACCAGTCCATGCAGGTCATAACAATGACAACCAAACCCCCTTAACATCTAGCATCTCTAGAGAGCTGTACAATTTGGAAAATGCTACCACATACATTTTCTCACATGGGCTCTGTAGTCCCAAGGTGACCTTGACTTGATGAGTCTGCACTGCACCTGCTCCAGCTCCAGACACCCAGCAGGAGAACAGGGCCTGAGCCAAGAGCACCAACAGGCCCAAACCTCAGTTTTCACCTGTCTCGCTCTACTTTAGTGATAGGGGTCAGAGCAAGCTTTTCAGTAATGAACCAGGAAGCAAAATGTCTAGTGCATTTTTGTGGACTTCATCCAGTTTCTAGACATCGTCATCTTTGTGTTTTTTGTGGGGGTTTTTTGTTTGTGTTTTCTTATAACCCTTTAAAACCATAAAAAACATCCCGAAGGAAACCTCATCTACAGTTCTATGACCTTATCTACCCAGAAACCAAACAAACTAGACGGTGCCTGAAGCGTCATTACCAACCATTCGGACCAGGGCTATCATCGATGCATCCTGATAGGAGCAGAGAAAAATGAGGAACAGCTCAAATTCTTACAAAGTCCACACTGAACTGGACTGACTGAGCCGAAAAGGGACCCTGGAGACTACTGCCCTGAGCATTTCCACAAACCTGGAGCTAAAGCCACCTTCTTGTGATGATTGGGTCATAAAATCTAGATTATTAGCAGTGAGGACTGTTTATCTTTTACAAGCCATCAGAGGAGGGAGGCAGGGAAACCAAATCAGTAGAAGCACAAGACTCAGAAGGGAGGAATGTTAAACATGTGGAAGAAGATGTGACCGGTGTCCCTGAAACACACAGTTAGTCATTGTTAAATGAACCGAACTTGCTGGGTAAAACCTACACTTAGAGCATAGTAAGACAGTACTTCTAATAGCGTCTCGACAAAAGTAGGCTGCAGGCTCTATTTCACTCTGGGGCTCTAGTTGCCCAACCCCTGTTCTTATGTGATGTTACAAACACAGGGACAATGAACCAACCCTCCAAATGCCTCAGCCTTAGGAGAAAAAAAACGAAGGCTTTTTAAATGTAAAATCATTTCAGAGCCACTCCCAGTCCATCAGGCTGCGGCAAACCCCCTCCTCTGAGCCTCTCTACTGCATAAGCACTGGCGGCCCCACCTCCCACCGGCTGCCTCACCTATACACAACCACGGGGATCCGCTTCCAGGAGCGGAATGAAGCCACACTCTCCAGCTCTTTATCTGTGATCCACACGGGAACCAGCAGCTTCTGGGGGTAACTGGGGCACAATCTGAGGAGAGACAGAACTGGCTCTAAGACATCCGTTGACTTCTGGGGAAGGACAGGGAGCTCTCCTCCCTCCCAGCCTGGGGAGCTGGGCCCACCCTGCTGCATCCAAGCATGAAGGAGGTGTGGTCCCCCACCCCTGCCCCCTCACTTGTAGTTGCTGTTGATGTGGGAGACTCTCCAGACATTCTGTAGGTCAAAAGCCATCCTTGCAAGCTCTGCCTCCTGCCGACCTCGGACATGCTCTCCTGGAACACAGCCCCACCCACTCCGGTCAGCCCCCAAGAGAGCCAAGTGCAGACATGGAAGAAAGCGAACCAGGCTGTGAGATTCTTCCAAAGAGCAGTGTGGCCTCACCTGGCTGACACAGGTGGGTGTGCTGGTCCTCCTCAGTCAACCCCAGGCACCAGGCGTGGTAGGCAAAGGCAAAGAGGTCCTCAGGCTTGGCAGGTCTTGCTGTGGCCCGGCTTAGGCGAGAGAGCCACTCTTGGCACTGCTTGAAAGTGGAGAAGTGGCACCTGCCAAGCAAGAAGCCATAGGCCTCCGTGAGCCAAGGAGTCGGTGTGCTGGAGTCCATTTTTCTACCAAATTTAAACGTTTCCCGTGACGGAGGGTCTGCATCCCTTGTATCTACACCAGAGACCCTATTATCTCCCACAACGCCCAGCACAAACCTCTACTTCAGGCAGGAAGTCCCCACTTACATCACACTGCCTTCCAGGCTCCTGGTTCTTCTCTCTGCCCAACCATAGCCTACCAAGACTGAAGGCAGCTCCAGGGGAGAAGCCTGATCAAACTCCCATCCGATCAACTCCTTCCTCACTTGATCCTTCATGTGCTTGAACTATACAACGGTAGGTTTCTCCAAGGCATGCGGCCCACAAATTGAGGCTTCCCTCAGCAACTAAACTTGAACCTCCATGAGGGGGAGGGCAACCTGGATTCTTTGAAATCCCTCGAGGCTACTCCTTAAGCACACCCATAAAACCACTGCAACTGAGTCAGCCCTGACTCATGGGGACCTTAAAGATTAGGTTAGAACTGCCTCAGAGGGTTTCCAAGGCTGTAACACACAGGCTGACACATGCCCCACAGTCACTGGCCAGGTCAAGTCACCACGACCTTTAGCTTAGTCCCCGAGGGTTTCCCCACGGCTCCTTGCTGAGTGAACAGCAGCTCTGAAATGGGCATCCTTTTATAAACCCTTGGGAGCACCCCAGGAACCCCAGGGGCACAGCAGTTACACGTTGGGCTGCTAATCACAAGGTCAGCAGTTCAAAACCACCAGACGCTCTGTGGAAGGTAAGGCTTTTGACTCCCATAAAGAGTTATGGTCAAAAAACAAAACAAAAAAGAGTTAGAGTGTCAGAAAGCCACAGGGGTAGTTCTACCCTGTCCTACAGGGTCGCTGTGAGTTGGCATCGGCTCGATGGCAGTGTCTGGAGGATCTTTTGGGAGGTCATCCCAGATATTTCTTTCCTCACACATCCATCTGTCAGCACTACTCCAAAGCAGACTCCCAGAATCGGTTTCTCACTATGTTACCATTTCAGCTGCTGCCGCCACCCTGGACAGACTGTCATGATCTCACACCTGAGTAACTGCCAAGTTTCTTAACTCGTCTCCCAGCATCTGCCTTGGCTTCTGCTCCTATCCCCTCAGTCTATGTTCAATAAAGCAGACACAATGATTCTTCTGCACAGATGTCAACCGGCTCAAAACCTTCCAATCGCTTCTCATTTCCCTCAAAGAATGAACCAGTCGTGGTGAAGCTTGCAGGAACGACACTGACTGATCCTCCCTCCGCTCTCCAACCTCTAGCCCTTTAACCTTAGGGCAGCGTCGGCATAGGAGAGGGTGCTGAGTAACTATTGTGAAATCAACAAATGAACCAGGGACACCAGGAGCACACTGCCAGATCAGAGCCGAGGTGCTTCTGCACGCCTCCCCTTGTCTGTTTGACGGCCGCACAAGCTCAGCGGCGTACCAGCGGTTTCAGGTCAAAACACAGTGAGTCGGTCACCGGGGCTCCTCACCACCCAGCGCAGGTTCTTCCAGCCATTCCTCCACACGGAAAAACGAGGCCAGTGGCCCTGGGAGCAGCGAGGTCTAGACAAGCTTGCGCCAGACGACCTGAGCGAGACCCTCCTGCTCTCACCTCACCACTTTGGAGTCCTTGCAGGCAATGTGCAGCTGGAACATATCCCGGCTCTCCACACTGTCAATCATCCGGAGGGGGACCTTTAGAGGAAGGGCACATGGAAGCTCAAGTCTCCTCCACTCGCCTCACTCTCCCCACCCCCGCCCAGGTGCCGCAGGACTGCCAGGAGAAAGGCAGGCAGCATGAGCTGAAGTCCTCGGCACCGTGGGGGGTCTTTTATGTCTGTGACCCCCCACTAATAGTCACGCAATCCTGCAAGGCAAGTGCTCTCACCCCATAGTATTACTGAGTCTCAAATGACTTGACCAAGGTCACATGGCCGCCAAGTGGTAGGGCAGGAGAAAAGGCTGTTTGCTTGACTGTCAAGTCTGAACCAGAGCCAGTGACTGGGGGGGAGGGGGGGCATGTTGAGTAAGAGAGATGGACAAATCTGTAGCTAACAGAATGTCGCAGGAACACAGAATATCTGGAAGCACGAAAAGAGAAGTGCAGCTTTTTGGAGCCCTCCCCCCCCCCATCAGATAGCACCCTGAAGCACGCCCACCTGGCCCTTCACAGGGGTTCTGGATCGGGTGTGGTGGAACAAGACAGGCACTTACGTTGATGACAGAGTCCTTACACTTGATATGCAACCGGTAGTTGGAGATGGCGATGAGAGCATCGGCTGCCCGGCCCAGGAACTCCACTCCCTCACCCTGCAGCACGGTGAAGGGCACCTGTCGAGGGGCAGAGCAGCCCTCAGCCCAGAGGTGGAGGTGAGCCCCTCCACCCCTGCTCTGTGGGTCCCCTCTGGAGATGCTGGGCCAAGGCGCTGGAGGAGCATCCTCTCCAGGGTACCCGCGCCAGGCAACAGCTGTACTGGAGAGCTGCCTTTTCTTCCCTGGGGCCACAGGCCCCATGGTGCACAGACAGACAGAATGCCCACCTTCCTCCAGAGAGCAGGGGCAGGAAGTGAGAACTTCTGGCACTAGGTCCCCTGTGACATGTTTGTAGGGAAGGAAGGGTGTCTTGAGCTGAGCAGAGAGCCCCACCCGCCTGGAGACTGGGACTCCTTACCTGCAGGTTTTCCTCCTCCTTCACCAGTTCCCTGGGGGGAAACAGATCCTTGGCGTGGATATACTCCAGGCTGGGGGGGCCCTCCTCCCCCTGTGAAAAAGACCAGACTCCTAAGTTGTCAGGCTCCACTTGGCTAGTCAAGCCTTGCTCTGTTCCCCTCCCTAATACACAGCCCCAGCTCACTACCCACACACACTACACACCCCCAAACTATACTTAAGTTTTGGTCTCCAGAAGAGGGAAGAGAGACCTAGTGTGGGCGGGGGTAGTGACTCCAATCTATTAAGCCTAAGGGAAGAGTAAGGTCTAAGGAGAACCTGGGAATCTGCATTCCCTACAGAAGGCATCTCTGATAGAACCAAGATTTCCAAGATGGCAGAGCCTACCAAGGAAGAGAGACAATCGTTGAAGAGAAACGGGAAGGTGCTCTCCTGAGGAGAACCAGTGACAGTCGGGGAATCCAGGGCTGCAAGGCCAGAGAAGCTTGCTTCCCTTTGGTGGGGGAAGGGAGCTCTGAGCAGCCATGCCTCAGAGGACCTTGATGGGTGCTTGCTCTCAAAGGAGGGCGTGTTTGGGATCTGGACTCCCTTCCAGTTAGGCCCATACTGCTCACAACACCCCCCCACCCCACCCCCCACACACCTGCTAGGAAACCTGCAGAGGACCTGAAGGGAATTCCTGAGGAATCCCCACCGCAGGCAGTCACTCCTCTCACAGCCCACCAGGGAGAGGCGAGGCGGAGACCCACCACCTGGGGGGAACCCTGAGACCCAAGGACAGCCAAGGGAGAGAGGAGGCCAGGCAGACAGGGGAGGCGGGGGAGCATCAGGGAGGACAGATGGAGGAAGCTGGGACGGAGTATCAGCCAGAGAGGGAGGAGGGGAGGTCGGGAATGATGCAGAGGTCCGGAGCCCTGCAGGGGCAGGGAAGATGGAGCGAAGAGAGACTGTCTGGGGACAGTCAAGGAGAAGAGACTGGCGGGTCAGGTGAGGTGTGGAGTGGTGGAAGGGGGAGGGGACGAGCGCAGAGGCAGCTCCCAGGCAGCCCATGCTCTCAACCAGACCCCCCAATATCTCAACCGGCCTCCTAGCCACAGCCCACACCAAGCCAGCGTGCAGCGGGTGGGCCCAAGATGGAGAGGTGGTGGGAGAAGGGATGTACCCCTGCAGGGCGGGGCTTGGAGATCTGCAGTCTGGGCCGTGGCTGCGGGCCCAGAAGGGCTCCGGAACCGTCAGCCCTGGGGTTCAAGGAGTCCCGGCACCCACAGATTCACGCAAGTGCAAGAATGAAAAGGGTTGGCCCCGACTCCCCCAGCCCCAGCCGTTGCCCCCCTCCCCCCGCCCCGGGCAGGAGCCTTGCGAAGGGGGATGGGCTCGAATCTGGAATCTCCAGGGCTGGTCCTGGGAGGGGTTGTGGACGCAGCAAAAACTGGGGACCTCGGGCCCCCACAGGCGGGGCCGGCACTTACGAAACAGCTGAGCATGGAGCAGGAAACGCGGGCGGTCAGGCTCATGGTCGCGGGCGGTCTGGGCCAGCGCACATGTCCCCCGAGCTTTGGCGCTGCCCGCCAGCCCTGGGCTTCC